AATGCTACCATTTAGATGCTTGCTCACATAATCTAAGCCATCAATAAAAGGTTTTCTTGCTGCCAGCAAGCGGGGTCTGGTCCCGGCAGCTGAAAATCTTCAGCTGGTGCCATGGCTCATCCGCAAGGGCTCTACAGCATGCTGCTAGAAGTCGTCAGGAAAGCTTCAGACCTCGTACCCTTCTCACGTGATGCTTGGGAGCTGACAACTGCAGAAATTATTTACTGTGTCCTTCTGCTTGTCTTACCATACACTGAACTGCTCCCCTCTGATCGAAGCTTCAATGCCAAGATGACTTTTCTTCTAGCATGCTACATCAGCTGCGCATGTAACTTTGCGCCCCGCCTCGACTTCGGCCGCAAGGCACACAAAGCTTCTCACACGAAACCCCCCCAAGGCGGGTTCTGCAGCTGGCGGAGAATTCCGCGTCTACAACTATGGTCCCATGATGTCCCATGAATGTGCGGAGCCTGCTTCTGCCAAAGCCACAGGCCATCAATTCGCAAAACCACACTGGATGCATCCAAGTTTCCCTTTGATCTCGGCCCCATCCTTTGTGTCGATGAACAGTGGGCCGGCAGCTGCCATGGCCATGACAACCGGGGATGGATCACAACTGTCAAAATTTGCAGCTAGGCAAATCACAAAGAAAAACGCACACTCTTGCATTAGTGTGAGCTCAACATTAGATGTTGAGCAATTCTTCCGCATCTAAAGTCCATGTGTCATGACCGTTGGACAGGTGCTCGAAGCACTGGCTAACGTACATAACAGAGTTTTTGTTGCGTTGCAGATGGCATGCTGAGACATCATCTTCGCACCTAAGCATCATGACATTCCAACATGACATGGCCCTTTCTCCGTTTCAAGCTCAGACAAATTGCATCTCCGTTTGCTCCAAGTCCTCAGGAACGAGAAATCTTAGCTGGCAAGCATGCTGAGCAACGTGTCGAACTTGTCATGAAGAGCAGGAACATTCCAAACCTCCAACATGTCTGAGCTTCGACTGAGGCATTCCGCACAACACCTTTCAGCGGCATGCCGTCCATAAGCGCAACCTTAGCTACGTGACTGGAATGGTAGATTTTTGAGGAACAATTCAAGTTCAATTTAGGTTGCATCAAGAATAGAACAAGTCAGCCCACGCCGCGGAGCCTGAATCTTGAACTGCATTCAAAGACACGAGATTGTCGCTCACCCAGACCGCGCTGTTTGACCAGAATCTAGAATCACGCATGGCTAGGCCTGGTACACAGCAGAATGCCTCAAGTGAACTGTCTGGCATTGCTTGTGTTTCAAAGGCTGCGCCATGCTGCGCCATGCTGCGCCCCACTTGCTCCACTTGTTTGAATCAGGTAGCATTCGGAGCTGTATCATGTTCAATCTTTCCCTTCGCCTTCGCTCAAGTGCCCGCCTCTCCTGCATGCCCCATCCCGTGGCCCTACATCTTAAACAGGTAAGAATCCCAGGCGAGTTGGGATTGGGCGAGCTGGTGCAAGTGGAAGAATTGAAGCAGTTGGGCCAAGTGAAAGTGGGTGCAGGGCATGAAATGGGGCAAGAGGGGCGAGTGACGAGGCAAGTCGGGCAAGTAGGACCGAGGTAATTGTGGCGGCGGTGTCAAAGTTGCCCCCCCGCAGTCACAACGAAACAAACCATCACCAGAATTTCACAAGATGGGCCGTGGCAAACATGCAACAACGACCTTCCGCTTTGATTTGTTCTTGTCTTATGCAAAGTGTCCGAGCTAAACAGCGAGAAAAATCTACGAGTATCGTGACATTCCAAATAGACTGTGAGGTTTCCATCACCGCACTCTGACCACAACAAATACCAGGCTCGCAAGGCTGTACCATATCTGCACGTCCATCCAGACTACTATCAGTAGATCAGCTACGTTTCGAGGATTTGATTTGAAACCAGGCTGGCGCATGGCGCGCACTGTCGTTGGAATGGTCGCCAGTTTCGTGTTGCAGTGAAGCCCGCAAAGAAGCACTAAGCATGCTGGCGTGGGCTTTTCTCTTGATGCGGCAAACCGAGGCGGAAACGCAATTTACGTAAAGGCAACTTACGAAATGTGGCTGCGCGGGCCTGGTAATACAAGGACGTTGTCAAGCTCCGCCAACCGCGGCTGCAAGTAGGGCTGCGCCTTGGGCATTCCCAGAAGCAGTACATCCCTGGCAAACCAAATAGACGCGTATAGACGCCAGCGGCCTCAGGCCCGTAGGGCGGGCCACAGAACGAGTCGGGGTAGTGCCAACAACCTCGCCATCAACAATCAGCGTTTTGCTGAGAAAAGCCCTATGTAAACCAGGCTCCTTGTGGCCAAACATCAAGGACGGCTCCAATTCTTCTTGTAAGCAACGCCTGGCGTGCTCTCAGAAACCAACCTAAATGGAGCAAGCAGCAATGCCAATAAATGTGCCACAACATGAAACAAACATTGGCTGCAGCGGCATGTTTTTCTATTGCATTGGTGGGAGCATCTAGCAGTGTATATCATAAAGTGCAAGAAGCCGTGTTCTGCGGGGGCATTGGCTTCGCCCAGCCCACACTGAAGGGGGGAGACACGTTGTGAAAAACAGGCTGACACGATGATGGGCTTTGCTTTTCACCTGACCTGCTGGCGTCGTGTTGCTAGATGCTAGCTCCGCCTGGTACAACGCATCGAAGTCAACAGGATTCGAAGATATCGGTATAAGGACGGCTCCAGGCTTCATCAGAGCCAAGGCTGTCCGGTTGATCACATGAAAGACAGAACCTTGCCCAGGGCACGGCAATTGCAGTCAACATATCGGCTGATCTAAAGGAAGAACCGTGTGTTTATATGATACACGCGTCGATCTCGCACAGCCATGCCGTGACATACAAGCTGGCATGCAATGATGGCCAAGATACCTGGAACTGTTACAGCAACAAAATCGCTCTCTGCCAACAATTTGTCGTTATCGTCAATTAGCCAGGACCTTGGCCACAACAGAGTGGGCTGCAGTCTGGGAGCAACAAAAGGATGAACTGCAAGAAAACAAGGTCAAGACGAAAAAGGGCCATGCCGTCGTGTCGCCAAGACCCGCATGCCTGCATCCAAAATGGGCAAAAACGAGAAGGCCTAATCCCATTACGTTCGTGGACATGCGCCTAACGCAAATGCTCGTCTGCCAACCGCCTGCCAATTTGAGGTCCGCGATCAGAGCTACACTGAGCCGCTAAATGGCATCTGCTGCGAACGTACTGTCCCCTGGAGCATTTTGGGCCTCACCGATTGTGCCATAGCCCAAAATACCCATCCTCGGTCAAGCCCCTTCAACATGTGCAGTGATAGGACAAAAGCACATGATTGGCCAGCGTCGTTTTGCTCATCAAGGTTGGATGGGCGGTCAATGCGCTATCTGGTGCGCAGCCGCCAGGCGCCCCGGAACCAAATGCGCAAGCCCTGAATCTGGAGGAAACCTCCGCCAACTTGTATGTCCTGACCACGAATTGTCAAAGGCGTTTATTTGGCTTTCATTTGTGAGGCCCTCTTTAGCTTACTCTGGTTTGTCGCATTTTTGCCCCAGAGCCAGATTTGTCGCTCAACACGTAGCTTCACCGTAGCAGGCGTTTTGCCTTCATGATCAGACACTCCTTCGGGCCTTCGGATAAGGGGCGGCAACTTACACTTGCGGATTTAGCATCTTCAGATGGCACTGATATACGCATAATGATTCCGAAGCCAATGCACATCTGGCTTCTACTGCCTCCAAAGCTTTCCAAAGCCATGCTGAGATCAGATCTAGGTGCCATTGGAATGCGGCCGCAACGACAAATTCTGCAATGGGCTCAACCCCATATATTCGCCACGGTGCCTGAGACACAGCACACGCTGGTTGTGAACAGACTGGGTCTTTCCGAGATTAATCCAATCTTGCGCTGCCTGTGCCAACGCTTTGCGACTATGAGGTCGGCACAGGAGATCACCTTTAAGGGACACATACGAGTATATTGAGATGGGGGTCATTCTTGCCCAGCCAAGACGTCGAAGCGACTATCTTGCAACAACTGCTCTTATGTCGATCTCTTGCTAGCTAGTCCTAGGAATTCCGGAAATAATGAAAGTCAAGAAAAAGTCAGAAACCAGCTTACGGGGAATCCGGCAGGTCAAAAAAAATCAGAATCCAAGTCAACAAAAAAGTCTCGGAAAAAGTTAGACAACAATCAATGATGACTTGGATTTTGACATTGTTTGACTTTTTCTGACTTTGGGCGATGGGTTACTGACTTGTTGTGACTTTTTCTGACGTTTTTCCTGACTTTTTCCAAGGAAAACTCAGCTTTTCCGATTCCTGCCCCCAACCCCTCCCCCGCACGGTGACGCGTTCTGACTTTTTTCTGACTTTTTCCAAGAAAAACACAGTTTTCCCGCTTCCTGCCCCCAACCCCTCCCCCCACGGTTTCGCGCCCTCAGGCGCCACTTTCATGTTTTCTGATTACTTCTACCTTTTTTTCTATGTTTTTTTGAATAGTTGTAACGTTTTTTGACGTTTTTCTAACATTTTTCTAATTTTTTCTGACGTTTTTCTGACTTAGTTTGTAACCTTTTTCTGACTTTTCATTTCTTCTTACGGATCCTAGGAACTAGCTTAAGAGATCGACTTAAAACTGCTCGTTTGTTGCATTTGTGGAGGAGGTTGTCTCCCTCCCTATGCAATCGCCTTTCATGTGACTCTCCACTCCAGGGAACTGCATCAACATCGATGATCGAAAGTGCACACTCTATCTTGGAACTGCATGCCGCCAAATGACATCATATTTGGCCACAATTGGGCGCGCGGGCACAGATGACAGGCGCGGATACCTGGATCTAGAACGAATCAGCTCTCATGAGTTTACGTAGCACATTTCTGCAATCAGATATACCCACGCATGTCCTCAAAAGCGCAGCCTAGTTACATGTAAGTGGTACTTTGAATCAGCTTCAAGTTTGGCAAATCGTACAAGCTCGTGAAATTCCGAGGCATCCCGACTGCTGCGATGACATCCTTCCTGACCAGCAAATCAAACCTTACAACTAACAAAAAAAACGTAAACATCATCGTGAAGAACCTGTCGGTGGAAATTGCGCAATGCGTTTCACAGGCCCGAAACTCCACCTGCAAACTGCGCGGCACCGCAAATAGCAAAGATTTCAATGGGTGCTGCGCCTTGGCACTGGCTGCGCTGTTGGCTAAATCGGACAAATAGGCGGCAGACCTCAACTCTGCCAACTCAACATGTCATATGTGCCGACCTTGCCAACAAGCTCGCCATGCGAAAATGTACCCACAGGAAAGATTGATACGTGTTAATGCTGAGGCACATCTCATAGACCAGCACTACTGGCTTGGCACCCACAGAAACAACAAGCCCGCAGGCGAGGACATGATACAGCCAGCTCATGGCTTGTGTCGCCCCGTCACGTTAGCAACATCCTACCATTCTGGTTGCAGGTCTGATCCGCAAAACGGCATCAGCATCCATAGCTTGGTATTGCCGCAACCCCAGCGCATGAATTTGCCGAGCCATCCCAACAAGCCCGTACAAAGATACTCCCGCTAAACTCCTCACCCGAAACAAGAATCAACCAAACCCACATCCGTGGACACCTCAAGCCTCAAGAAAACCGGCAACATGCGGCACATAATTGCACACCTGGCTAACATATGAGTTGGCCACGAAAACCCTGCGGTTAGAACTCCAAATCAAGACCTCAATATCAAAACATACGCGCGCAAAAACGCTGAAGCAAATTCTTGCCTTATGTATTGAACACACCGGGGAAGCAGGGGCTTTTGTTTCGTTTACTGGCTTGCAGCTTCGACGGTTCGAAGTTGGCATGTCAAGGTTTTGGTAGGTCCTGATAGCTCCAGAATCGACACAGGGAATCAACACCATCCAGGAAGTGTTGGAGTTGAAGCTACGACATTATCTGACACGCATATTACACGCATTTAGGGCATTGCTGATTCCATGCAGCTGGGCTTTTGTCTCGCATAGCACAGAAGAACTGCGGCAAGAAGCTCTCGGCTTTAACTGCATGATGCATTCAGACTTGAATTACGCTAGTAAATTGGCTGGTTCGTCGAGTGGCCCTGCGCTTTGAAGTGATTTCAGGGCGAATTGGTCTCTCGTTCGTGCACGCTGTGCTTCCTTCGATCAATGTCTGGCCAGCAGCAAAGCAGGAAACAACGGATCACGATTATTGCCACGCTCCTACGCAACCTGAGTACCCATGACATGGCAAGTCTCCACCATTGGCTGACCTGAGCATCGAGGAAAACTTTCGAATTACAATCGGCCTCCTCAGGCCGGTTAGTCGAAAATACTATCGATCAGGTCATCCACATCGATTTGCACTTCGCTGGCCTGAGTCTGCTGTCCAGCGTTGAAGGGCTCCTCCGTCACTGAAGGTCTGGGTTCGACTTCAGCATTCGGAGCATGCGGAGGGCACCGTGAGCCCTTGTCATTGTCCTCATGAGGAGCGAAAATATCACTCAAAAGCGCCTCAACATCCATATCCATTTCCCAGAACTTCCCATGCTTCTCAGCTCCGGTGCCTACGGTCTCCAGGGAGGGCTCTGATTGCGTGCTGCTAACAATGCCACCTGAATTACGCCGTGTGCCAGGAACAGACTCGTCAGGGAAAGCTCTTCGGCAAGTTGTCAGGCTCACTCTGGTTGTGCTCGTATCTGCCCTCGGCTTCTCAGAGTCTCGACGCCGTCGTGGCCTCTGTGTCGCTGGTGGCCTGTTTTGTTGACTAGCAGGCTGCGTCTCCTTCCAAGCTTTTCGCAGAGAGTCCAGGAAGTCGGACAAATATGAAAAGAATAGCTCATAAGGTGGTGTAGTATCCTTCTGCTTTTCTTCGGAGGTGCAGAAATATTCTTGCACCTCCTCGCACTTGTCAAATGCAGCAGCCAATGAATCCGTGAGGTCAGCCGCTTCTGCTTGAAGATCCTTTAACAAAGTTGCCATGGCCTCTGATGCAGGTTGATCCTCCGGCAGGTGCAAGACCTCTCGTTCTGCGAATTCGACCTCTTTCAAGAAGGATTGAACGCAGGACTTCAAATGTACACTCTTTTCCCTGGCAGCTGCTGGCACGTTCATCAAGCTTCCAGATAAGGATTCCAAAAACGTTGGGTTGGCCCGCCGCAGGGTGACGCACAGAAATTGCAGGGTAGACATGCTGCCCAGCCTGAAAGAGGTGATTGCAGCAAGTGTCTCTATCGAGAAAGCATGAGCGCCACCGCCGAAATCTTTGCCATGGTTGATGTAATTGGCAATTTGAAGTATCATGGCCAACACCTTGCGAAGCTCTAGGCTGCTCTTTGCTTCCATTGCAGCTAGACTCAGGGTTTGACAGCGCCTCAAATAAGCCCTTGAATTCTCTGCATGAGAGGCAGCAAGCCGGAAAAGCCGTAACCGGGCAGTTGCTCGCTGGAGAAAACAGAACGGCAGCACCTTCTGCTCAATGTCGCGCAATAACTCAGGAGAATTCTGGTGGCTCTTCAGCTTCAGCGATTCTTCGTGCGTCGGTAACACACTTGTCAACAACTCCACCATGTCGTCAGAAATTGCAAGTCGAGAAAATTCAAGAGATTCCAGTGCCTCGCACACCTCCTCTGACGACACCGGCAGCTTGCTCAAAACGATGGCAATGTTCTGTGCTCGGGAGGCATCCAGAACCTTTCGTGAAACCCACTATCTGCTTTCTCAAGAGTTTTTTACGTTTGCTGAACACACTGTAGTCCACTGAGAACAAGGAACGCAGGTTGGAAAATCACGGCTGATGATAAGCATTGTATCTGTCCTAAACTCGTGCACTTCACTTCACGCCTTGATCCCTTCAGCCTTTCGTTGTTGTGTGGCACGACTCTTTGGTGCCGTCTTTGTGTTTGTTCCTGAACACACTGCCGCAAACTGCAAGAGTCTCTCCACTCAGACCTCTTTCAAAGCACAGGTGCCGTTAAGTAAAGACGCGAGCGCATCGGTGTCCAGATCAACGGCAGCGTCTGCATCGCCAAAAACTGTTTCATGAGCAGGCTGACTGTACCGAGGCTGCACCTCATGGCTCAAGAGATGAAATGAGATGGAAAGTGCTGCCACCGCACGAAATGGTTTTCTTGCACGGGGTTCTGCAGCTACACCATAGCCCATTCATCAATTAATCCGTCCAAGGTACCCAATGGATCCTTCGTCCAAAGGGGGCCGGTCGCTTGGTTGGATTGTCTTCGGTTCTTTCTTTGCCCTGTCCAGCATGGATGCATAGGATGTCATGTTGACAGTGAGTTGACAGCACAGCTTTCAGCAGCACCGGGCTTGCTAACGAATACACAGCTTCAAGCAAAGGCCAATGCCGCAAGGCTCTACAAAACAGTGGCCTCAGCGCCCTTGTGCTTTCCTTTGCAAGGCAACGTCTTGCCTTGGATATCTTCGAAAAACAGGATGGGATGCTTCCATACCTCCTCTCCATTGCTACATCAGAAAGAGAAGCAAACATGGCACCTGCCTCCGCCTCCACATCTCTCATGTAGATGTACGAATCATTGTTTCTTGTTTTTTGGTCTGTCTTGGCCTCTCTTGGAAGTGCATGTAACACGTGGCTGATGGTTCTCAAAATTCACAGGCATACGCCACTCCACTTTGGGGAGACTGCTCCTCCCACCATGATCCCCTCCCTGGACCGCCTCGCATGCTGAAATGCAGCGGCCCCTTGGGAACGGGGGGGCAATGTGGGGAGGCATGGATTGAGGATTTGCTAGGCGAATTGGTTCCATTCAAACTGGCATGGGTCAGCGCCGACCCAAAAGTCTTCGCAGTGGACGTCTACATGCACCTTGCCTGCGAAGGCTGGGGTCTGAGAGCCTAGGCTAGCGGGAGGGGTCGGTGCCGCTGAAGACCTGATGGGATTGTGTGTGTTACTTGCGTTTGTTGAAGAAGGCCACGCGAGCCTTGCGGTCAGAAATGGACGCTCAATCAAAAAGGCCGATGTAATCAGCCGAACCAGGATAAATCACTTAAAATGGTGATAAAGCAATACGCACCCCAACTCAAACCTCAATCGGCGGGGCCACATAAGGAACCGACCTATATATACTAGATCCATCAACAGAAGAATCACATGTGTAGCGAACGTATATGAGCAAAACCACCTACCAGAGCAACGAGACGACATAGCCCCACTTCCAGTCTATGCTGCGCTCACTTATTCTAATTAGGGCTTACGGACCGTCCATGTGGTTGTACAGCTCTTTGCAAAGGGTTTTGAAGAAGTGCCCTGGTTTTGCTTGCAGTTTAATGTCTCTGATAATCGCAAGAGCGCACCCCGAGATGCTGATGATCCGTCCTGCATCAGGCCCTGTGCATAGATGTCTAGCTCAAAGCAGCAGACACCCCTAGCCCTTTCCACAGTACCCTTGTTTGCTACCATGAAACATGGCAGGGAGAGTCTTTGGCGCGACGGGTCAGATTTGATTTTGACGTGGTCTAGGCCGGACGTTTGCAGCGGTGTCGCGCACGCATAAACTCTATGCTTCTTCGACCATGTATGCCAAGCTGAAAAACCAATTCAAGCTAAGAATGGCTCAAAGATCCTAATGACCAGCCCGAGGTCAGGCATGGACCAAAAAACATATCTTCCATTTTTCGCTGAGGTCCTGGCCCTTCCCTTTGGGAGGCGGGCCCATGCCCTGCACAGGCTTCTGAAGTTTCACGGCTGCAGATGCCAGTGTCAAGTTAAGGAGTGCGCGGCCTGTGCAGTGACTTCCTATGCAGAAAATGGCCAGCCTTGGCTGCAGTGCTTTTGCCCTTGCCTTTGGCAGGAGCTGATCCTTGGCAGCGCCAGCGATAACTTTTCTCAGAGATGGCAGCTGACGCAACATCACATGGAAGAACCTAGCCGCATGTCTGCATCAAAGAAGCTTTTGTGCGTTGCTGCTTCTGCTGTGCTGTCCGCAGGAGCTGCCTGAAAGTGACTGCCCAGTGAGGGGATTAGCTGTTTCTGCATGCTCTGAGCCTGAACTTGCTCCACCAAGTTCTTGGACTTATCTACCTGCCACGCAAGCAATAGCGAATTAAGATTTTAACAGCTGGGCCGTCCATCAACAACATGCGCAGCAGAATCACAGAGACAGCCAAGTGGCGTTACAAGAAAGCCTTAGGCATCAGCATCCATGTTCAAGTGAGTCAGTATCCTAAGTCTGTTGTTTGCATCTGAGCCTGCAGCGTGTCTGCTAGCTTAGGTGCAAAGCGTTGACACACTCCACCAAAGTAAGACTCTTCAAGCCTCAACGAGCAGAGCAGTCCATGAAGGCAATTCTAAGGTCATGTCTGCTCTAGGCCGATGACTGAACGTTGACAAGGCCAGCCTCGTGGCACGCACAGCAGTGCTCTCTGCATTCTCTGCTGGATCTAGAATACTTTAAAAGCGCTTACTTGTCTGGCACCACCACCGCCACCGCCACC